GAGCGAGCGCGGGCGTCGGACATCGGAAGTAGCCATGGCATTGGGCGCGCTAACGACCTTCGTGGTGCTGGTGCGTTGGGGCTTGGCGGGCACCCTGACCGTGGGCGTCGGGAGCCTCAGCTGGCTGGTGTGGGGCGCCCTCCAGTGTGCCCTCGCCCCCGCCCACGCCTTCGTCCTCCTCTCGTCGTACCCAGGTGAGTCCGAGAGGGCGCGTGGAAGAGACCCTCTGTGTCGGTGGTCGGGTTAAGGTGGCAGGTGGGCCATGTGGATGTCCAAGTGGATGCCCATGTGGATCGAGTCCCGATTCAGGGTTCAGGTTCAGGGCTCGGGAAAGGCTTCGAAGCGAGGAGACGTTGAAACCCTTTTTTTCCCTCTTCCGACAGCGTACAGCCGCCAGTTCGAGGTGGGGACGCTCTACACGTACGTCTACGAGACGTCGGTGCTGCTGAACGAGCCCCAGGCGCTGCCGGTGTCCACGGCGAAGGATGTGGGCTTCCGCGTCGAACTCTCGGCCGAGGTCACGCCCGTGTGGCAGCACCCCGGCAACGCCCACGAGCAGATCCTGCAGCTTACGGTAAAGGGATGGGGTTTTCGTAATTGATTTTTCGCTTCAGTTTTTTTAGTTAGTTTTATTTTTTGGAAGTCACCATTTTCCTGTTATTATTATTATTATTAGTAGTAGTAGTAGTAGTAGTAGTATTACTGTTATTAGTATTGGTTTTTATTATGGTTATTATTGTTGTTGTTACTGTTATTATTATTGTTGTTATTGTTACTGTTATTATTGTTGTTATTGTTACTGTTATTATTGTTGTTATTGTTATTGTTGCTGTTATTATTACTGTTGTTGTAAATGTTAGTATTACCGTTACCCATTACTATTATCATTACTACTTCCTTGCCTCCCCCCCCCCCCCCCATACAGATCGTGGCCCCCAAGCTCTCGGTGAAGTCCCGCCAGGGGCCGACGCCCGGGGACTTCGCGCACAAATCGTCCAAGCTGGAACAGTACAAGCTGCACCCGGTGTTCCTGCACTGGAACGGCGGCCAGATCGGGAAGGTGCACCACTTCGAGGGGGAGGAGGCGTCGCTGCTCAACGTGATGAAGGGCATCTCCAGTTTGTTGCAGGTGGGTTTTGGCGGGAGGGGTTAGGGTGGGGTTAGTGGGTGGGAGGGGGTTGGATGGGTTAGTGGGTGGGAGGGGTTGGTGGATGGGTTAGGGTGGGGTTAGTGGGAGGGAGGGGGTTGGATGGGTTAGTGGGTGGGAGGGGTTGGTGGATGGGTTAGGGTGGGCTAGCGGGTGGGGGTTGGATGGGTTAGGGTGGGTTAGTGGGTTAATGGGTGGGTTAGTGGGTTAATGGGTGGGGGGGGGGGTTAGGGTGGGTTAGTGGGTGGGAGGGGGGGTTGGATGCATTAGGGTGGGTTAGTGGGTGGGAGGGGTTGGGTGGGTTAGGGTGGGTTAGTGGGTGGGGGTTGGATGGGTCACGGGGTTGGGTAGGTTGCATGAGACCTTGTGGGTATAGTGAGAGCTTGTGTATAAGGAGAGAGCGATCCAGAGGAAATCAAGGGAAACAGAGATAGATAGTCCTTGCTATAAGATCGATATATTAGTAGAACAAGCTGAATACTTGGCATAAGCTTGGAATAATGTTATTATATATGTCTTAAAAAATACACACATATATAACTTTTTTATATATATCCAAACAGCATCAACTAAAGAATGTGAAGCAGAGAGAAATGGACTCTTCGGGGAAATGCGAAGTGACCTACAACATGGTCGACCCAACGCACGTCACCAAGTTGAAACGGAATTGCAAAAACGTCATTCCAGTGCAGTTCTTCAACCAGACCAGCAAGGTGTGTGGGCAAAGTTTCCAGATTCTTGATGCTTTCTTATTCTTTTTACTACTCTTATTCCTTTTTATTATTCTTAGTCTTAGTCTTAGTCTTCATAAGCTAAAATCCCAGAATGATATACTAGGCAGCCAGGACTAGGGTTAAATCTGGCTTTTCTTATTTGAATCATTCAGAAAGGTACAATTTTACCTTATAATTTTGTATATTTTGAAGATATTCTTCAGTAATTCAACAATACAGAAAATTATGTATCCATAAGACCATAATCGATAAATAAATGCTGAGATCTAAAATATATTGATTTAAAATTCTGACCTTTGTGTTCTGTCTCTGTTTAAATATCTTGACAAGATGCACATTATTTCTCCATCTCATTAAAAGAAAATTAATATGATAATGGCAGTTATGATAACCAGTCTTCTTTTAATTCCTAACAACACACCCGTAACCTTTGCAGGTCCTGGGTGCTTTGATTGACAGTGAAGCAACCGCCTCATATGTGCTGAACCCAGACGACAAGATCATCGAGAAAGCTACCTCAATGGAAACCCACTTCCTGCGAGTAGAGGCGCGGAAGCAGTCTGGGGCGGAGGTGATGAGCAAGCAGAACCTCCAACTCAAGAGTGAGTGGGAAAATTACCATAGTTTTCTTATTACTGTTTCTTCTTTTTTCTTCTTCTTCGTTTGCCTCTTTTCCTCTTCGTTTTTTTGTAATTATTATTATTATTTGTCTTTCTTTATCTGTTCTTTTATTACCTTTGATTCTTATTTATTTGTATTCTTCAATCCTCTGTAATGTAATTTCTCATCAGATTTGTGAGTTTCTTTGAATTGTGTGCGTTTGGATACACACAAGTTATTCAAGGATATAATGTATATTTTACAGCTTGTTATAAATACCAAAAGAAAGCAGAGCCTTTTAAGCAGTAAGCCAAGTAGAGATAAAGTGAGAGAGAGGGGGATAAGAAACATTTTATTCCAGCTATTCACATATGTTAATAGATTTATAGGTAGATGCACATGTAGAAAATTGTTAACAAATGACTGGGCTTTATTCCAGGTCGCAGCAAGGTTAACAGCCCTAAATACACAGGAAACACAGCTGCTGAAGCATTACGATCCATTGCCAAAAAGTTGAAGAAATCCATCGTCACAGAACAGCTTACAACTAATCCTGAGGCAAAGGAGTGTATTTCATGCAAATCGGTGAGTGGCCTTGCTTTTGGTGCCTTAAGGAAATAGTGAAATGTGATAAATCCTGAATTAAAAAAAGCAAGATGATAGTGAGTACTGTAATGATGATGATGAGGATAATTATTATGATAGTAATGATAATAGTAATTGTGAGAATTCCAAATCATCACCGGAACCAAAAACTTCACTAGTTCATTGATCCATCTATAAATTTTCTTATCATTTATACTTGGCTTTACGTTCAACTCACAGTATACAGGAATCATATATATTTGATCATTATTTTTTCCATCTCTCAGTTGAAGGCATTGATCAGCAGCTTCTACAACACCCTAAGCCCCAAGAACTTGGGCACGCAAGGCTCGGCTATCGCTTTTGTGAGGCTGCTGAGGAAGGTGCGTGAGAGTGACCTCGACACCATCAAGGCCATCCTCAAGGATAAGAAGAATGCCAAGATTATGTGAGTTTTACTACATGGTGCCGTAGATTAGAGAGAGAGAGAGAGAGAGAGAAAAGAGAAAGAGAGAGAGTGAAAGAGAAAGAGAGAGAAAATATGTGTGCATGTGCATGTGTCTTCTTTCTTTGTTTCTTTGGTGTTTGTGTTTATATTATCATCTGTTCTTTGTTTTTGTTTTTCAGTCAAGATTAAAATACACATTTTGTTTTTTTTTCTTTGCTTCTTTTGTTATATACTTTGGTTGTTTTATTACTTGGTCTATATTTTTATATGTTCCCTATCTCCTTGTGTCTATGTAGTTGCATTATCTTCTTTTCAACAGCAATTTTTGAAACAAGAATTGAACATTCCTAAAATATGGGGAGGGGGGGAAGCTTTGTTGCCAATTCAAGAATCATTTATTTTCTGTATTTCAATCTCAAACTTGTTCCTCTTAATCCCAAACGTACAACTTCAAATCGGAAAGAGAATATTTATATTGACACGCCCCCACCACAGGCCTCAGCTCCTCGACATCTTGGCAGCGGCTCAGACGATTCCCTCGCACAAGGCCGCCATGTCCGTGCTCAATTTCGGCGGCCCGATTGACAACCCCGAGCGGTACCTGCTGAGTCTCTCCTTGGCAACACATCCTTCAGAGTTTGTCTTGCAAGGTGAGTGGTGTGTGTTGTGGGTCTTTAAAGAGTTTATGTATCTTTTATAAGGTGCAAGTAAGAGTGGGTGGTACTCCGCGATTTGAAATTCGTGATTAAGGTCTACTATTAGATTTTCTTATTAATGCTACTATTGAAATGTAAGTTTATGTATGTTGTAATTGGTTGTTATTCATTTTCTTTTGTGCTTTTACTGCATTCTTTCACAAATAAACTCAACGTAACCTATCTTATGTTGATTTATTTCATATTGACAAATTAATTTTGGACTTTCACCCTCCTTGGTATGTTTTAAATATTTTTAAAGGCTTCTTTTTTTTATTAAAGTGTAAGTAGAAAGAAAAGATTATCTTTCTAAGAAAGAATTTGTTAGAAAAATAAACAAATTAGGATACTTTAATCTGTTTTTATTCCGTTTTCAGATTTAATGACACTTGCAAAGAAGGGTCTCAATAATGACAAGCTGTATGAGACTCTCGTTTTAACAATAGCCTCTGTCAGCCACACTTTCTGCAAAGTTTCCAACAACTGCAAAAAGCCTGTAAGTAATTTCTTTTTCTTTCTGTCCATCGTCATTTTTATTGCTCATTAACCCAGAGGTTATCCTTTTTACGACAGTGAAGCTATCACATTAGTAATTATCCATATGTACATGCTTAGATTGCTTAGTTAAGTTGGTATATGTAGAAGGAATGGGAAAGATTATTATAAAGAACTAAATTTATGTGTAATACAGCAAGGGGAAACTGGAGTGGAAAGAAAGGTTGTAAGATTCAATTATGTCTACATATGTGATTCAATCTGATGCTTAGGATCTAATTTTTAATATGACTCAGGGCCATGTACTTGAGAATTATTCAGGCACCCTCCTCCAGCCTCTCCAGACATGCAGGAATCTAGTCATTAAAGCAAATAAACTGCCTCTGCTGCGGCTAACATCACATTGTAATACTCTTCCAGATTATTACTGAAGTCCAAGAATTTATGACAAGTAAGTTGGAGAACTGCAAGAGTGAAGATTGTCAGCTGATTTACATCCGTGCTCTAAAGAACTTCAGGAAAGCAGATACAATGGAGGTCCTCCTGAAGTATGCGGAAGGCAAAGCACGCAAACCAGCAATATATGCAACAAGAGCATTGCAAACTATGCCTGGTAGTTACATCACTGAAAAGGTAATTAGCAAGAACATTTTATGCTATTTTACAATGTTACTGAAAAATTGCCTTTTAGAAAGTACATTATTTCATCATAATACAGACTGAATATTCCAGGAGGAAATATTACAATAGAAATAATACTGATCTTTATCTCCAAACAGATCCTCAAGAGACTAGAGCGAGTTTTCCTGGAACTGAATCAGCAGCATGACTCTAGCGTTCGAGCCATGGCAGCAGATATTATCCTGCAGCATCAGCCCAGTGAGGAATTCCTGAAAGCACTGTTCCATGTCATGACCTCGCATGAAACCAGAGAGCTGAACACCCTCCTGCTGGGGCGAGTTTCTGACTTGGCCAGAAAGGATGAACATTTGCAGAAGGTAGGTTGTTAGATGAGATTTTGTCTTGATTTTGTGTTTTGTCTTTGTTGTATTTTTTAATGTATATTTATATTATTTTTCTTTCCTTTGTCTTTCCTTCTGGTGTTATTTGAACAAAATTTTTTCCAGCTTTTCCATTGAAATTGACACTTCCCTTTTTTTGCAGTTATTGAAGACTATTCTAGTGATGCCAACTTTTAACAATTACCACATCCATGGGCAAGGAGGCTTGTCATCTGCATTCTCAAGAATGCTTGCCGAGGACAAAAGTGCCAACTCCTCCTTCAGCAACATGCTCGAAATCAATGGGGGACTCCTCAAGAGGTCTACAGTCGATGTCTTTGTGAACACTGAAGACTCTCAGATGAGGCTTCTTTCTGTGAGTAATTGTGCTTGAGAATTCCTGAATACTAGTTGAGACGTGTGATTTTGAAATTATAGTTTTTTCAAGTTTTAGGGTGGATATTTATGGTATGTCCATATTAGGTTATAATGTAATTAGCGTTTGATAGAGAAAGGGGTGTGAGTAGGAAAATATTGCAGCCAAGCATTTGTGATGAAACTAATTTACAAGACACTGGTTCTTTTCACTCCTTTTTTTATCTACACCCTATTCTAACCTACCACTTTTCTCTCTCCCATAGATTGGCATTTTCGCCGGTGGACTTTCTGTCTTCGGAGGAGAGGACGCAGTCGACGATGGAGAGGAGGCCAACGCTGGTATCGAGATGACCTTGATGGACACACAGCTGCGACCTTTTGTGTTCTTCACGGGCCAAGGGGAGCTGATGGGGCATGTGTGGGCTGGCACAGGGTCAGAGAAGACCACAGCACTCCAGGTACAGCTATGTGTATTTTCCTTGATTTTAATAGTAGAGGAATATCTGTATTGAAAGAATTTGATACTGATTTCCTTTATGTAAGACCTCTGGCTTGATGTTACTCAACAACTTGTACAGACTTGTATAGAAGCTGTTTACTGAAGGTAGAAATTCATATGTATTGGAAGATAGATTAATAGAATTGGAAAATACTTATAAACTAAGAAGTAGAAAGTAAAAATTGCTCAATATCCATTAAGATTTGTAATTTCAAGAAAAGGTGATTTGACTAAAATTGACATTTTTAAGACTAACATTCCATAAAGATTCCATGACTACTGTATATGATTATGTAATTAGATATACCAGTAATCATAATGGTAGTAATAACTGTCTTTGACTGTGTTTAAAGATGGTTCTAGATTTGGTCTTTTATATGGAATTAACTTTCAAAGATTTTAAAAGTAATGGACTTTCTCTTCCATAAAGCCTAACAGTATCCTTCATTCCATGTACTAATGATCTTCTCAGGGCTCCTTGCTGCTCCAAGACCACCTCCAGATCGTCCCTCTGCAGAATGGTTTTAATGCTGAACTCCTTCTCAATGGTGCCATATCCTATGACTTCTCTGGCCAAGTACAAGTGTCTCTCTGGAATAGGAATGCTCACAGTCTAGTGGAAGTTGGGTGAGTTTCCATTACCGTTTGTTTTGTTCATGAGAAAGATAAGAGAAGTGAAGATGGTTACTTTTCACATGTTTTATTTCATTATCTTTTTATAAACAAGAATTTTATTTTTGATTTGAGAGATGGGGGACTAGGAATTCTGGAGTTTGAGGATTTTAACTTTAGCAATGTGTATATTACTCTTTTTCTATTTAGTGTTCATCTTAGACATGGATAAGCCATATTAGTTATTAAATATTAAAGAAATGCAAATGACAATGTTTATCTATTTACAATTAGAGACAGTAACACTGTATTGGGAGTCACAAGCATTTGCTAAAGTGGAAATCCATATTGCTTGCAGGGCCGCTATGATTGTCCAAGGTGTAGCTAGAGTCGACAGCTCCTTCGTGCAGACTCTCATTGAGTTCAACTCAGGGGGGCAGACGCAGCTCAACTTCGTCACCGACCTTGAGTTCTACGACGAAGTCATTATGTGTTTACAAATGGTAGGTTTTTCATTGTGGTTGGCAAGTGAAGTTCTGAGATAAAAGGTAATGATCGTTATTTTTATAATAATTTGAAACACCATATATAGCTTTGATGTTCGAGTGCTCTTCGGATGGTTTATGTCTGCCTCTGAAAACTGAACTGATCGAAGGGAGACATACCACTGTTCTATCTATATTAATGCATATGAACACATTTGCACTCTCACTAGTTTTACTTGCTAAATTTAGACTCTTCCCTTTGTTCCAGGTGCAACCCAACTTCGAGGTTGTGAACAATGTACGAAAGCTCGAGCGCATTCCTGGAAGCAATTACGTGTTGCGTAAATACAAGAAAAATACATCTCCTGTTCCCGGTAAAACATATGTAATGAATAAGAAAAATACTGAACTATGTAATAAGATGTTTAATAAATAAATTGATATATATATTTTTAACTAGCTTATTTAGATGTTGTATCAGTCATAGGATAAAAGAATCATTGGTTTTGATAGAATTTTTTCTTACATTTTATAAAAGACCAAGATAGTATGCCAGAGTAAATGAAAAAGCCATTGAACAAAGTCGGGTACAATGAACAGTCAGTTTTGACAATAGATAGGGAATACAAGTTTGACTATTTACAAACTCAATATACGATACTCATTCCACCATAAAAGATACTACATAAGAGAACATTGCCGATTCTTTGTTGTGATTTATTTGTCCTCTTACAAAGAATTATCTAAGGACTTGCCAGTAGCTTAGACTTCACCTTTGGTGCCTTTTATACCGTTGTAGACATGTCTTCTACCTCGCCTACTACTGTTGTGTCTCATAGACATGATATGGAGTCGTACACAAGGTCACAATGATGAGTGTGTGTAGATAGGTATATTTTTCTTTATACAGTGGGCTTTAAACTCGTGTCGTATTAAGACTATTTTTGTGGGCATAAAGAAAGGAAAGACCAATTGTTCTTTTTCATTTTTCTTTTTTTTTTTCTATTCTTTCTATTCTTTTTTTTTTTCTTTTTTCTTTATTTCAGTGGCATAGTTGGTTGTTTTCCCTTCCTCCTCTTTCTTTTTTTTTTTTTTTTTTTTTTTTAAAGGATTGACATGATAACATGAATTATTATTTTGTAATCGTGTATAGTAGAAAAAAAGGAAAGGAAAAGGACAGGGCTAGTATTCTCCTGGTATTTGTAAGAGTCATTTTAAGTTGGAAAGTATAGCAATGCCAGGAGACAGTGCAAAGGCATGCACCGTGTATTATTTTCCGTTCTCCTCGAGGCATTCCCGTAGCGTTTGGTGCATTCTCATTGACGGAACATTCTCAGAACTGGTGATATTAAAGTCATATGTTGTGCTTTCAGGGGGTTTGCTCACACAGACAGGTTGCAGTTCTGTAGGTTTTTGTATTACCTGTTTACTTAAGTTTTCCCTTTTTCCCCGAAGGATACAAGTGTTGAAATACTATTTTTTAAGGAGATTGTATTTTCTTGTTTTAATTTTTTTTTATTTATTCATTTTTTTTAAAGGTATGCCAGTAGTATTTTTGGGTGATATTCAAGTAAGAGAAGGATACTAAGAATGGCAAAATAACATTTGTTTTTGCTATTACAGAATGACATTTAGACTTGGGTGATAAATATATTGTGATGTTAACATTAGACTACACTTCTACCTAGATAACTGTAATAAAAATGAAGTACAGTGCATGTGGGCATTTCAATATCATTTCTTTTTCTACTCTTTGTCGCACTTTGCAGAAGGCACTTGCTCATAATAGTTTTATTTAACTGCAGCTTCCGAACCGAAATCCACAATTCACAAAACAGAAAAGAAGTGCATTTCCCTCGAGTTCAGCCATTGGGGGATAGACTGTGATAATATGCTAATGTTGTTGATCATAAAGACCATGTTCCAGCCTGGGAGTTAATAATCTTCGTCATCCAAATCTCTGTTTTTGAAGGTTGAAAGCCACTTTAATACGATGAAAAAGCTGTTACTTATCACTGACCTGTTGTATTGTCATAACGCATTGTTTATTTAATGAGTGATTTACTTTATTCAGAGATTTTTTTTAATGATTATCTTCATTTTTTATGTTTTCTTGTTATTTTTTTTATTTTGATCATGATTTTTGTTTTAAAGGACTGTGCCAATTTTTGCATGTCTTTTTCAGATGATATATATTTTTTTTTTATCCTTTTTTTTTTTTGGTTATTTTGTATATACGTGATTACCAAACCCAAGAAATAAAAATTATCCTTTTAAGGCTTGTTATATTGTATTTTCTTGTACTACCTTTAAAGTGTTAC